GTCTTGAAGGACTCAGCCTTTCTATTCTGTCTCTCAGGAATTCTTGTTTGATTTTTGGGAGCTGTCTTGTGAGTGTTTCTGAGATGCTGATTAGCTCTGGCTGGTCTAACCTGGGTGTCAGACGACTCAAGAGCTGAGCTCAGATGTAAAAATAGAATTATCTTGGTAAATGGGTTAAAACTGTGCCTGTTTTGTGCTCATTGATCACAGGATAATGGCACTCATGAGCGCATCTTCAGTGCTATGCCAAGTCAACCAAAAGGCAGCAAATTAAAAGAGAAGGTGATTGGGGTTTCAATAAAGCTTTTCCTCAGAGTTTTCCCATTTTCCCTCTTTTTTGGCCACTGTGGTGTGTTAAGGTGCCAGCCCACAAGAGTATCCAGGATTACAGAGTCACTTAAGTAAAGAAAATTCCTCCTCCAGAGCTCTGCCACAGTCTGACCTTCTGCCTCCATTCCTGGGTTATTTCCAGGATACCTCCATTCCTTCCCTCTGCATTTTTTCCTGTTGTTTTGCATGATTTACAGGACCTTTCTCTAGGGCTCATTTGGGGCTTTTTGTTCTGTTTTGTTCTTTTTTTTTCCCTTATGTTTTGCTGTAAACCTCAGATTGTAGCAGTGATGATCAGATATCACCCAAGGAAATAAATGACTCTCTAATATTTGTTTTGCTTTTACACAAGTGCATAAAAAACTTCCTACTGCTCCATTTCTCCACCAGGCCTGCATATTGTGGTGCTCCCACATGAATCTGAGTAGCCTCACCACTGGAAATGAAAATGTATCTGTCCTCAACTTCCATAAATAAAATTAATTTAAGGGCCTGTAGCTGTTATCAGTTTGTCCTGAGGGAATTAATGTAAAAAAACCCAAATTTTTCACTCTTAAAATATGAGATATGCATGTAAATTCTCAACTGCTGAACTCCCACTCTCTTCTGCAAAAAATAATTTTTGAATTGGAATTTTCTGTTTTACTGGAAAAAATACAAAAGGGAAAAGATAAATGATGTGATCTCCCTTGGCTGAATCTCCAGCAAAGGCAAATTTGCAGAGCTCAGAAAATAGTCAGCCTGATTTTAATCTGTAGAACCTGATCTTTGTTTACAGCAAACTGTTGGGTTTGTCTTCAGCAAGGCTGGAAATGCAAGTGGTTCATCATTATTATGCCATCCAGATATGGCAGTAATGAAAAGGTATCAAAACCTATCCCTAAACCCACAAAAAAATTCAATGAAACAACATTTGAAGTGTTCAGTTCAATCCTTCTACCATGTTTGTTGTTTTGACTGTTGTTTTTTGCAGGGTGTTCCCCAAGGAGAGAAGGAAAGGGGAAGATAAATTATGGGAATGCCAAAAGGGAAGGGCACTAAACCTAAGGAAATCAGTGTGAAAAACTAAAACTTCTAAGGAAGCCTCTTGAGTCTGGCAGTGGGAAAAAAAACCAAAATCAAACCAGAAAAAAATGAAGGCAAATCCAAACTGTAAAATGGTGCCATTTTTCACACTCCATGAACAATCTGCAGGTGGAACAAAACCAGGTGTGGTGAGTTCTCCATCAGAAATGCCCAATTAGTGAGACACAACACAACCTGGATGAGTCAAAAACCAATAGTTATTAAAGAATTCTGAGTGGGTGGTTCCACAGAGCCTGATCCACATCCAAGTGCTTAAAGCCCCAGCTGACAAACCCACTGGAGCAGGTGCCTGGTTTTAATCCATTTAAGCCAATAGGATGATTCAGTTACACATAATTACAATTAAAAAGCTGCAAAAATACTTTATGAGAGAGAGGGAGGAAGTGGGTTTGGTCTCCTGATGGTACCTTGAGAAAAACGTGTCAGTGTGTGGCCATCACATCCCTCTGCTGTTTGTACCCCTCTAGAAAATGCAGAATTTTGTTTCTTACTGGGAAATCCCCCAAAAATCCACTTTTGGAAGAGGTCAGACTAAGGAACCATGAGCCACAGTTGTGCCTAGAAACAAATCTAAACAGATTTGGACACCTGGAAAGAAGAGAAGGAGTGAGGGATGTTTACAAAACCACTGGTGCTGAGTTTCCTTGGTGTGGGGAAAGGGGCCTTGTGCAGATTCTGGGATTAAAGATGATTTAAACCTGCTCCATTTAGTCATAAAAACAAGCCCTGCTTGCCAGCTCAGGGTTTCTGACCAATGAAAACAGGTTGATTTTTTTCAGCCAAGTGTTTTCTTTCCCCCAGGAGTGAGTTTATGGATAAAGTAGGACCAAGGAACTCAAGGAGGCTCTGGATGCCACACATCACCCAGTGCTGGCTCACACCATCACTCAGTGATGTTCATCACTTATATTTTGGCTGCACTGGCCCTGAAATGCTTACAGCCACATTCTCAGCCACTGTGTCCCATAGAAATTCTCAAAAAATTAATTTTTTGGGGTTTTTGTTCACGCTGAACTCAATGGCAATCCAAAATTCTTTGAGTTTAAAGTGGTGGAGAGTTAACACCACACCTGAAGTGTTCCAAACAAGGTAAAATGAAGTAAAAACACAGTAAAGCCTATTAAAAAAGGGGTTTTTTTTTATTACATATACATCTTCCTTTGTTGGAGTTCCTACTTGGTTGAAGCATTGACACATTTGCTGGTGGAGAGCTTAACGCATTTTTGTGTGGCTGGAGCACAAAACATAATTTAAAGTCTTTTTACTGCAGCAGGTAATATCAAATTGAGGACTTTGGTGCCTTAATCAGAAATGCTGGGAGAGGTTTCTATTCATTTGGATTTTACAGCCCTAAATCCATTCTGGAAGGGGAGTGTCTTTACCCTTTCATTCCCTAAAGGGATGAGTGAGATACTTTCTCTTCTAATGAAACAATTTTATTGCTTTGGGTTTGCCCTGTTCTAACCCAGAGTTGCAGTGAGAGCATCCAGCAAATCGTTTGTTGAAATCTCTCTGCAGACTGGATGAGCTCAAGGCCACATCCAGCCATTACACACACAACCTTCAGTGAATTGTGGATAAAATCCTGAGTGTGTGAATTAGCACCAGGTCTCCCAAGTCAAGCTTTATCCTGCAAGTTCAAAGCACAAACTTAAGCCAACCTAACCTAACCCAGCCAACCCCACAGGAACACAATGGATTTTATAACATTTTTTCCTAACAGATGAATGTTAGGAAAGGCATTTTGTGTCAGTACTTTTAGACTGTGACCTAAAAGTTGCCCAAAATGCTGGTACAAGACTTGGTTTTGCAAGGGGTAGACTCAGCCTAATGTGGTGGAGACAGATTTGTCCCACATAATTTTATAACAATTATCATCACCCAGCCATTCACCCTGAGCTGGCAATTAACTCAAAAATCTTCTGATGGGGAGAAACACAAAAATGTTGTAGCCATGGGGCTACCTGAAAGCGCAGGTATTCTGGATTCTGCAGGAAAATTCTGTATTTACACCCAGAAATATTTCTGGATGGATGAGAAGCAAACACTTCTCACTCAGCTCTCTGCAACTCTGCCCCAGTCCTGACCCAAAAACCCAGTGCAAACTGGATCCCAAAACAGGGACGAGAGATTGGCTCACACTCCATGGCCTGTCCTGTCTTGGCTCCTCTGCCAATTGTCACAGACAATTAATCTGTGGCAATTTATTCCAGTTTCTGTGTCTTTCTACCCATTCATGGACCTTCTCAAGAAAATCCCATTCCAAGAATACAGATCCCAGTGAATCACAGAGAGGAGGAAGCACACAGGGACGTTCCGAAGGGAATGAATCATGCTGCACACAGTTCTTGGGAAAAGCTGAGAGGAGGCTGCTCTGGGTTTCAGCTGAGAGATGCTCAAGCAGAAATGTCATTATAACAACAGAGACAGGACTCAGGGTAAGGACACAGGAAAGCCAGCAGGCAAGGAAGAAATTGGATGGATGGGAAAGAAAAGAGAGCCTTTTTTTCTGGTGCTGTATGACATAAAAAACAGGTCCAGAGGGATCTGCTAGAGTGCTGTGCCCAGTCCCCTGCTATTATCAGCAGGCAGCTCATCTAATGCTCTGAATTTACTATGGAGGGTTCCTGTTTGTCTGTTTTTATTTATTTTTTTCTCCTGGATAACTTCTGATCACATCTCTTCATTTTGGTGATTTCAATTTCCTTCCTAAATTTATTCATTACTGGTATCCTCTTACGTCAGTGTGGCCTTTAGATAAACAGCCCTTCTCCCTCCTTAATGTTTGCTCCAGCTGATAACACCGAGTTTGAAAGGCAAAAAATAGCCCAACTCCTTTATTGCCCTTATTTATCATCCCAGAAGGGAAATCTCACAGTTGCAGACAGCGAGCGTGGGATACTGATTCCGATGAAAAATGGATGATGATGTGTGCACATAGATTTCCTGCCTGAAGTCCTGCAGGGATCAGGTCACTGGAGCCCAGAGAATCACCCACGTGCAGCTGCCTTCTCCCAAAGGATTGAATAGCATTCCAGGCTCCAGGGAATTGATTAATTAGAGCCCACTACCTGTGGATGCACTTTACACACATGGCTCATGTGTAGGTGCTTACCCCATAGATAAATAAAATTAGTTATTTTATTTGGATCTGACTCCCATCCTCACTGAAGGAAAAGGTTTTGTTGAATCCCTAATCACAAGCCTCCTTAGACCAGGATCTCCAAAAAATTAGCCTGTGGCTGGGAGATGGACACAGGACTGACAGGAGCCCCAAAATCCTGTACAACCTCACTTGTGGGTTTGACCTGATAAATTCCTTTAAGTTTGAAAAGACCTCTAAGACTGTCAAGTCCATAAAATATAAATATATGCATTTTGGGCTCTGATAATCAATTTATTCCTTCACCATATAAATCAAATGGCAGCAATCATGTTTGTTTTTTCTTTCCCTTTCAAACAAGAAAATGATTTGAAATCTTCCCAAAGCACCGCCCCACGTGCATTTGCAAGGTAAAATTTGGTTCATTGTTTAAGAAGGGCAACAAAATGAGGTGGAAATTTCAAAGTTCAAGGATACTTACTGAGCTCACGAAGCAGTGCTCGGACTCCCCACTTTCAAACAGGATGACATCCTTTATGAAGACTGCGATGGCTCTCATGATGAAGGACATGAAGAGGTGCATGTGAATGTAATTTCGAGTACAGTGTAGTTTTCTGTTGGGAAGAAATGAAGCATTTGTGAATAAGCAAATCTTCTCAAAAGCATTATTTTTATATTTAAACGCTTCTTCTACCACGACATAGAGTCCCAATTAAACATTAGAAACCCTGAGACGGGCTCTGGTCTGATAACCATAACCACAAATCCACTTAAGCCTCTTTAATTCCACACAATGTGGCAATCCACGAATCTGCAGCAGCACTGCTGCTTTTTCAGTCCTCAGAAAAACAGGAAAAAATACAGGATGACAGAAAACAGGTACATCCCACTGCTCTCCACAGGAAAAGAAATGTTTTTGACTGAGCAGACTGTGCTCATGATAACATTCTGTTTTCTACAGAATGTTTCTGCTGCAAGAATTCTTTTCAAAGTGAAATGTTTCTTCAAGCAGGCAAATAAATTCTTAGCATCTGTTGCCAGAATTAACACATATTACAGGCTTTCTAGAGCAATATGAACTATATTTTCACTTTAAAAATACTGTTTGTTAACGATACTGAGAAGTACACCAGAGTTTTTCTATCCCTTGCCTGCTAATATTTTGAAGATGAATTCTGATTAAGTAGGAGGATTTTTTTCAAGAGAGACTTTACATCAGCTAAAGTGAAAGGCCTAATAGTCTGGAAATGGGAGCTTTGTACAGACACCAGAAGCAGAGCAGACCTCACTCAGCAGCACAATCAAATCACCACCTCTTAACGAGCCACTGGCTGAGGTTGTGCTCATAATCTCCCATGATGGCAAGATAATGGGGCTGAGCTGAGTCCTCTGTGCCTGCAGGCTCAAGTCAAGTTCAGCTGTCTCCCAGGAAGGAAAAACAGGATCCTCAGAGGTTCCACCAGCCTGGCTGGCACCTTGTGGAGGTAATTTGCATGTGTCTGATTGACTCCTCCATTGTTAGAGGTGTGGAGAAAGCATGTGGGAGGAGAAACGCAAAGTTCCTGGAGGGTGAGGCCGGCCTTGGTGTGAGAGTTACCCTGGAAAATGTGCCCTGTCTTACGTGAGGAGATGGAACCTCATCCAAAGGGTTCTTCCATCTCACACAGGTCTCCTTTTTGCTCATCTCCCCTTACATAAATAAATTTATAATAGGAGATTACATATATGCAGACTTCTTCACTGGGGGCACCCAAATTTAGATGCCTGAATCTATTACAAAAGCAGAGAGCAGGAATTGATCCATTTGCTGCAGTCTGGGATTCCAATGCCACTTGGTGAGCTGCAGACTGCCCATCCATCCTGGCTCTCCTGAAGGCCCTGAATCATATCTGCCACACTTGTGCACATCTCAGGGACACCAGCAAGTTTAAATGGCCCTGGGGGTCTCTGTGGTGGCAGGAAGTGTTTTTGGAAAAGATTTTGGGTGGATGGATGCTGGTTGCCCAGAGAAACTGTGGATGTTCCATCCCTGGAAGTGTCCAAGGCCAGGTTGGATGAGATTGGAGCAACCTGGCATTGTGGAAGGTGTCCCTGCCCATGGCAGGGGATGGCATGAGATGATCATTAAGGTCCTTGACAACCCAAACCATTCTGGGATTTTGTGATCCTGGATATTTTTGGATTATCTGGTATTTTGGATACCATTTTGAATACCTAGGTAGAAATTCCCCAGTATCCATATACAGCATTCTGGCAAGGACTCTGTGGACTGTAACGCTCTAACAGAGATCCATCACAGGACAGTCTGCCTTTGCTGAGATGCATCCACCTAAATAATTGGATTTGGGTTACAACTCTCACCCAAAGGTCACAAATCACACGTCAGAACATGGTGACACTGAAAGATGGAGGAACCTTCCTCCCCCATCCAGCACAGATTGACAGAAATCTCAGGCATCTTCCTGTAAGACTCACAGCCTGTAAATTACCAGCCTTTGAGTCATCCCTGTGCCTTTTTCTGCCCGTGGTCTTACCTGAAGAGACACAGAATGATCATGGCAGCCGTGAGGGCGATGAGGGATAAGGTGTGGCCGATGGTGTAGCCGGTTTTGACCGTTCCGTAGAATGCTGTTTGCTGGTGTGAAAGAAAGAAAAGGCTTTCAAACAGGTCCAAAATGCACTCCTAAACACATTGCTGGGACAAGGAAATCATCCTTCTCCATTCTCCTAGAACACCTCTGACTCCTTCACCCTTTCAAATCCCACCCAGGAGCACAGGTGACTCCAACACGGCCGGTGTGAGTGTGAACCCATCTGGTTCTCCACACCTGGACAACTCCAAACCCAGGTTAAAGTTACACAAGGGAAAGGTTCCTGCTGAAGGGAGGCTGTTTTGACACCTGCAGACACAGCTACAGCCTAAAACCTCGTGGAACAGGAGTGACCAATGTTCAGTTAAGATGCTGGGTCTGACCTGGTGAGTGTGGTTTTAATTTAATTTCATTTTATTTAATTTTATTTAATTTTATCAAGGAGGTCTGAAGGCAGAACTGTCTGGGAAATTGGTTTGCTTTTGTGGAATTTACACTGTGTTTAGGCAGGTAAAAACTTAAAACTGTTGACTCATAAATATGTGTTAAGTTGGAAATTGGTTCATGGTTTTTCTCTTAGCACACAGAGGAAATTTCTGAGCATGGGGCACTGCAGGACTTGGATCCAACAGGGAATCCCAGTCTAAATAAAATGGGCAAATAAGCTTTCCAAAGCTCTCTAGCAACACTCTAAAACAATAGATTTTGATTTTCATCTTTAAAAAAAAAAAATAAAAAAAATCAAGAGGTAAAATTATTTAGATGTTTATCAATTAAAAAAATAATGTAAGTTTTTTTTTTAGAATCTAACTCAGTTTATAGAAAATTTTATTTTTTCCAGCTCTTGATTGACCTTCCTCTTCCCTTGCTGTTATTATCTTCTACAAACAACCCAAACAACCAAAACCACGAAGAGCAGGTTAGGCAAAAAATCTAAATCCAACCTTGTTTGGAGAAATACTCTTCCATAACACTGAGGGCTGACATTTTTATGTGCTATTTTCACAGGCTTTGACAAGTATTTGGTACTTTACAGAACCAGTGAGGCTGGGATGAGTTGCAATCCTTTAGCATTTGCACAAGCCAGCTTGGAGAGGTGTTAAAACAAGAGAGTTTTCAGGGATAACACTGGTCTTATCTTCAACCACAGACCTCAGAGGTGGTTAAAGCAGTGTCCTTACAGCCACACCACTGACAGCTTTGGGTCACTCTGAAGAGATAATTCAAGGGTTTCAGGACAATTTATCTGCCTGGTCTTGCCCAGATAAAGCTCTGCAGGTGGGGTCTCACCCAAGGGGGGCAGAAACCCCCCTTTCCTTGCTGCCCAGGCTGTGGGATCAGCCCAGGAAACAATTGGATTTCTGGGATAGAGGTGCACATGGTCAACACACTCTCATCCACCAGCACCCCTAAGATACAGTCTTCTTTCCAGCCTTCCTGGAGTTTGGGACCCCAAAGGCAGCTCTGACTTTTCTAATTAAAGCAGTCAGCCTCCCTCATGTTGATTTCATCTTTCTCTATTCTCTATTTTTGATAGCAGCAGAACAGAAATATTCCAAAGAAGACCTGGCCAGCAGAAGGAGCAGCTCGTGGTAGGGGACTGCAGGAAGAAGTTTTCCCATATTTCCTTTAGGAGAGTAGAGAAAAATAGACCTTCTGCTTCTTAGAGTTATTCCCAGGAGCAACTCATGCACAGAAAGTTCCTGGTGTTATTCAACAAGAAATCCCCTGCTTCCTTCCCCCTCCCCTCATATTTTATGGTGACTAACACTTCTTGTAGAGAGTGGGATGGTTCTGCACTCAGCTTTAATGCAGGATGTGGGGTCATCTCTGCTCTGGAAGCAGCACACAATGACTTCTCACTCTTCACTGCACTTGCTAATGACAGTTGGTTCCTATTTTAGAGATATCAAAGCAGAGAATTTGACCCAAGATCATAAATGGAACTGAAATTTCACTCGGGGTCCAGATTATAAAATATCCTTATTAGAAAAGAAAGGGATGCAGATAAGTGAAGGCAGTGCATGCCAGGATGCCTGACTGATTCACAGAATGAAATCAGGCAACTTCATCATTGTCTCTTTGACTTCTAAAAGCTTCTGCTTAATTTCACAGGACTGTGATAATAACAATTATTTGAGGTAGGTGCTAAATTGAGATTAACTGAGATTTATTTTCCTTGGTTTCTATTCAGAATATTCTATTCACTTGTCCCTTGGTTGACAATGGGAAACCTGACAATTTTGAGAGAAAAAGAAGAGAAATATTGAAATAAAGTCTTTCAGGAGCCAAATGTTTTGGGGCTCATGGCATTCAGCCCAAAGGGTTCTCTTGAGAGTAAATGAAAAGCAATTTCTTTGGAGAGAAATGTGGGCTGAACTGACCTCTGGAGGTGTCTCTTTACGTCACCATCTTCTGGCAGAACCTATGGAGACCCTGGGGTGTCCCCTCTGAGCAGATGGAAGCACATCAGGGAGCAGAGCATCACATCTGACAGGGGAGCAGGACAACAGCTAATGCACCACTTTTAAAAGTCCCAGCTTGGACAAGGGCTCCTCATCACTGTGTGGACCCCAAGAACAGCATTTTGGTACCTACATCATCTGCTGCTTTAGGGACTGCCAGAATTCACAGCTAAAACCTTACACACTGCTCTTATTTATTTTTCATATTTTTTCTTGTTGTTTCTGACCTGAGACCAGAAGTTCATGAAGTGTTTTACTCCTGGAAGCTTATCAGTCTTTCCTGGACCTCATGTCCTGTACACCCCGCTGTTTTTTTCCTACTCCCTTCACTTCTTGCTCCCCAAATTCACTGCCAATTCAACAACAACAAAACAAAAATCTATTCTTCTTCACAGGCTGCTACCACATATTCACCCCCCTCAGCCACTTTTCACACAAATTGGACTTTAACAGCAGGAAAAAAACAACTGTGCAAATCAGGAGAAAATAATTAAGAAAGAATTAAAAGAACACAATAGAGGTTCTCCTGGTAACGCAGCACTCTGGCAACGCTGCAACCCATTGGGTGGCCAGAGCAAGGCCCAGGAATTCCCAAATCCCCTGTGCAGCAGGAGCACGAAGCAGAGCTCAGGGTGGGGGTCCCTCCACAGCAGAGCTGGTTTTTGCAGGCACACAGCTCAGTTGAGGGATGGACCTGAGGATGTGAAGTGCTGGCTGACCCTGAAGCCAGGCTTTCTGCAGCACAGCCCTGAAATTCTTTGTGCACCTCTCCCTTTGCTGTTTTCTGTTTCCTTTCACACTCAGAGCTGGCTCGGTCCTGCTCAGATCCCCTGTTAACTCTTTGAGTGCCTTGGCAATGTGTGACCATGCACAGAGACCTCTCACCGTGTCGAGTCACAGAATCCCAGAATGGATTGGGCTGGAAGGGACCTCAAAAATCATCTCATTCCACCCCCTGCCATGGGCAGGGACAACTTCCACTGTCCCAGGTTGCTCCAAGCCCTCTCCAGCCTGGCCTTGGACACTTTCCAGGATGGGGCAGCCAGAGTTTCTCTGGGCACCCTGTGCCAGGGCCTCAGAACCCTCACAGGGAGGAATTTCTTCCCAATATCTCATCTAAATCTGCTCTCTTTCAGCTTAACACCATTCCTCCTTGTCCCATCACTCCTTGCTCTTGTGAAAAATCCCTCCCCAGAATTTTTGTAAAGCCCTCTTTAAATACTGGAAACACATACTAATTAATTATTGAGATTCCTATGTCCAACATTCACTGACGCTGAGGTATGTCTTAAACAACAACAAAAAGCATGGCGAGAGATTTAATTTAACCACATTAACCTGTTATATAAAAATATAAATACTGCAACATTTCTTGCATAAGCTTTTCCTTGTTACAGGTGATTAGTTTAGATTAGATGCTGAACTTTGAGTTAGGTGAGGTGAATCTTGCTTCTGACATTTGTCATCCTCTTTAGACTTTACCCTTCATGTCTCAGCATGCAGCAAACCAGTAACAAACTCCTTCCTGTGGAATGGCAATACTCTGTAAAGCTAATTATACCTAGGTCAGGGATTGCTGATTTATACACAAACAATATTCCAGAGAGCTTGCAGATTTCCCAACAACATTTAGTAAAATTTCATGAAAATCTGTGCTCCCTACAGAGCCCTAGATATTTAGTTGGTTGAGATTTGCAAAGCAGCAAAACATAATTTTTATCCCTTTAGAGCTTTTGAGGCTTATGGTGCCACAGAAAGTCTGGAATCACCATACCCACTTAAGCATAAATATAAATGTGGAGGGCTTGTTTCAAAGTCTACTGTGGAAAATAAAACATCTGAAGTTACGTGTGGACATCACACGGACAATGGTCTGATCTTCCCAGGTCCTGAGACATCCTGGAAATTTTGGATGTCCCACCCCTGGAAGTGTTCAAGGCCAGGTTTGGAATAACCTGCTCTAGTGGAAGGTGTCCCTGCCCATGGATAGGGTGGAGTGGGATGATCTCTAAATTCCCCTCCATCCCAAGCCATTCCATAATTCTATGAATCTATGGCATCAAAGGGAAGATCGTTTCCTTGACCAAACATTTGAATTCTGCTTCCAAGCAGATCCTTAAGAAGATCCTTCCCTCTTGAGGAATCAGAGGGGGAATGGGAAAATTTGGCACTGGAAGATCATATAATTCTGATATTGATCCCTGTTAAATCTTGATGTCCACCCAGCCGGGTTTACAAACCTCTTCCCCTGGAGTGCTGTTGGAATCATATCCACAAGCTACAGCGTAGGGTGCAGGGTACACATCAGACCAGCCCTGGCTTGTACAGTTCCTGGTCACATTCCCTGGAAGAAAAGGAAAAACCATGATTTAAAAAGAAACTTTCAGCTCACTATTAAAACATCTTCTGCCTTTTGAGGTATAAATGTCAAAGCACAATTCTTGTAACACTTAGAGTAAAACTCTCATACTTCTTCACAGTTATTAATTTTTCATATTACACAGAATTAATAAATGGGAGGCATTTTAAAGTCCAGACATCAGTAAAAGAAGTACATTTTAATACAGAGGTGCACACAAAACATCTCCTCTAGTGGTACCACACTGGCACTTGCACCCAGACCTTTGGCTGCTGGCTCTACACCAATATTGTTTGAATGTTTTATTGTCACATTGACTTTGTTCCTGGAAAATTTTTATCTAAACAGAGCAGTAAAATATTTATGCCTTTCACTCTGCCTGTGAGAAGCCAGGACAGGGATAGATAAAGTGTTCATTCCACATGATGCAGATAAGGCTGGGGGTCTGGGAACTAAATCCAGTCCTCCACACCCAGACCTTGCCCACAGCTGAGCCCTGATCCAATGTGATTCCTGGGAAATATACTGCACTCTTGTTTGTGAGCAAAGCACTTCAAAATTTGGCTGTGAAGGGAGAAAATCCACACACTGCCAACCTGAATTGCCTGTTTTAACTTGTATACTCCAGGGCAGGGAGGTTTCCTGGACTGTCAAGCTCGCTGAGTGCCTGGGGCCTCTGACCAGCTAAAAGGAGCTTTAATTAACACAGGAACATCTCACTCCTTCTGCCAAGCTGTCAAAATGGAAGTTCACGTGTCTCTTTGGTACTCAGAACTGCCTGATCCATCCAGGATTCTAAGTGCAAAGCACTTCTCACTTTGTAAAACATCTCTGCTTCCTGTCCCAGCTGGACCTCTAACCCACACTGGCTTAATCCAGGCAAGCCCAGCACTCAGGATCAGCCTTACCCCAAGAGGTTTGTAGGCTAAAAAGGCCAAGATATGGGTTTGTCAAAAACCAACAAAGCAGAAATGCACCCAGCAGCACAGGGTAAATTCCCCCAGCACCTTCTGTGACCACCAGTCCCACGCTGCCCACCTCACACAGATCCCACTCTTGGGCCATTCCACTGGTGCCATTCACCACACAAAACTGGAAATCTGGTCAGCACACCAGAATGAACAGACACAATTCAAACCTTGCTTCTGAAGGTGACAAATGACACCAGTGAAGCTCAAAGAGCTTTGGAAACATTTCCAACAGTTGAATTCTTTGCACACAAGAGTAAAAAAACTCCTGCAAATGGGAGCAAATCAGTTATGCAGCTGTGAGTCACGGAAATATCCAAGTATCACCTCCAGCAATTTCTGACACTTGAGTCATCTGAACCTCTTCCCAACCATGGGCTTGTTCTGCCCTGAAACCAGCAGCAAGCAATCCCCTGCCTGGAGTCACTTCTCAAATCCCTGTGACAGGTGGATTTTGACACTAAAAATTGCCCCTTTAATCTGTCTTTGCAACAGATCTGAGTCCAGGAGGTCTCCCAAAGGTGCCTTCGCTGGTTTTCACAGCTGCTCCAGAAGAAGCAAGTTCAGCACAGCTCCGTGGGCTGCTGCTCCCAGCCTTTCCCTGCACGGCCACTGTTTGCTGTTCCTTTCCCCAGGGTTCATATCAGGATCATAAAGGATCTTGTGCAAACAAATCAAGGACATGACTGTTCAGTACTTTCGGATTTTTTTGAGGTGTTATGCAATTTCTGTTATTTCTTCTTTGTTACAATGGATCCCATTATCTGAACTTCATTGCTTCCCGTTTCCTGCTCAAAACTCCTCCTCTCTGTTTGGGGATGGCTTAAGATTTCACGGTGGTTTTAAGTCTTTGTTTCTTATTCTCAGTGAACTGAGGTGTGCTTCTTTCAGCTTATTTTTCTTTTTAATTGCACTTCCTCACAATTTGATGATTATTTAAAATTTCTCACCTCTCTCAATACTTTTAAAAGTTGTCCCAATGCTTTAGCAGATGTGGAAACCAAGGTGGAGGGAAGAACAATGACAAAGAATCAGTGGGTTAAAAAAATAACAATAAAAATTACTTTGATTTTAGGGAAACTCGCTTCCCAGAGAAGTTTTTCTACCACCCTTTGGTGCTCATGTCACTTTTAGATGTGGAAATTCACACACATGTGATACAAGACACCTTTCTAAAACCTCTCATGTTCACCTGATGTCTGAGAGGTAAAAAAAGTACAAGGTTACAAAATTTGTCACACCACAATTTGACTCAAGTAATGGATGATGTCTCTCCTCAGACCAAATAACGTTTCTAATTACCACTGTTTAAAATATCACTTTCTACACTGAAAATGAGCATAAAATTTGGGAAAGTGCCCCACAAGCTTAGCTTTCCTCTGAGTTTTGCAGGGTTAGGTCAGACTGAAGTATTACACAGATTTTTATGTTCCAAGGTCAAATCCCAGCTCTGCCACAGATCCCTGATGAAAATGAGCCAGTTCTTGTGGGCTCCCTGGCTCTTGGTTTTTCCAGACTTTGGTAATAAAGTCTAATTATTTGTCAATGGAAAGGCAAATTTTTCAAAGCACCAGAACTTGTATTTGCCATTTTCCAGAGCTGTTTCTCACCGATTTGTGTAACACAAGTTCTCTCTAAAATGAGCACCAATGGAGTACACTGAAAATCTGTAGTACACTGAAATTCAGAATACATTGAAAATAACAGTATCAGAAAACACAAAGTTTCTGCACTTTGAATTTATCTCCAGCCTATCAAAGTTCACTAGATTTCCCAAATTTTCCCATTTCCTATTAGACTGGAGTTAAAATTTTTCAAACTGTACTCCTGGAGCTTTAATGAGGAGGGAGACCAGGGGTTTATAGCAATGTGGAGTGGAGGAGATTCACTGAGAGCTGGAAGCCTCCCAGTGCCAGCAGATTTGTGCTCCAGGCTCCCCTCTGTGTTGTGGAAAAAGAAGAAGCAAGTCCCTGGTGAGAAGAGAGTTCCCTCATTCTTGTGGTATTAGTTAAATCTAATTAATGAATTAATCTGTGTTTTTTTGTGGGGTTTGTATTTAATTTGATCAATGTTACCACTGCCAAACTGAGCCTGTTCCTAAAAGCAATGAGGTGAGGTTTTCCATTAAAAAAAATTAAAAGGCACAACTAACTCTCATTTATTTTAGTAATAACCTTGTAATGCCTTGCAAGAGCTCAGTGTCCTGCTTCCACAACATCCTGGAATGGTTGGGGTTGGAAAAGAACTCTGGGATCATCTGGCCCAAACCCCCTGCTCAGGTGTGGTCACCAAAAGTGGAAGCATGACCAGATGCCTTCTGGATATTCTTGGAATCCTTCGAGGATGGAGACTTCACAAGCAAAACTTGTCCCACAATTTAGAATTAAAATCTTTATAGAATGATTCGGGCTGGAAGGGACCCTAAAGCCCAGTTCCAACCTCCCTGCCATGGGCAGGGACCCTCCCACGAGTCCTCCTTGGTGTCACTGAGAACAATTTCCTTCCATTTGATGTGATTTGTTCATGACACAGCAGAAGAGGAAGGAGGAGTTTGTGGAACAGAGAGAAAAACATTTTCTTTATCGGAAGTGTTTGATCTGGGTAGGAGTTAAACACTGAACAGATGAACTGAATAAATGCAGATTTGTTGTCTGTGTCTTGCTCTTTAGTTTTTTATCTCTTACTTAATTCCTTTCTGCCTCTCATCTGTTCCAAACACACCCTTCAAACTCTGAGACATGTCTGAATGTTCATGTTACAGGTGAATCTCTATCTCTTTGATCTTCTTGGGAAAAACCCTCTTACTGGCTTTTAACGGGAGTTTGAAATCAGACAAAGAGACCTGAGGTCAATCATGGCTCAGGGGTGGTGGGTTTTGCCCCCCTCTTGCTTTCCTTGCCCTTTTCTAACACCTTCTAACACAGAGGGAAAGGTGTGCTCTGCCCAGCAATCACTCCTGCTTCTCCAGCATCATATTCCACGGGCATAAATCGATTTCTTCAAGCAGAAACTATCAAAGCAGTAACACTTCTATTATTTACCATTATTAAGACGCTGCTGGGCCCATTGGCACATCACTACTTTCATTTTTTGTTATTGATCTGCCCCACTGTTCCTGGGAAACACTTGAAACTTGCAGAGAGCTTGCACTTAGCTGGATGCTGAAGTGCTTAGGCTTGGGAAAAGCTTGTGGGGAAAGTCATGACAGGATAATTTCCCAATTTGCTTTCTCTGCCTCAGTTGTGGCCTCACAGGAGCCTTCTTTCAATGCAATTTCTGCCCAGTGTTTAACGTTTATTTTATATTTTTGCATTTCAATACTTCGTGTCATAGTAGAACCTGTGGCATTGGGTCAGCACATCAAACAAGACCGACTTAATTTTCTTCCTTTGTTGTTTTTCACATCACTTTGGCCTGCAGATATTACTGCCACTTGTCCAGTGCTTTGAAACTTCCTGCACCCTGTTTTTGTGTCAAAACTCAATTTTCCTTTCCCCTTCCTGCACTTTTCACTTCTAAGAGTTATCCTTATAACACATACAAATTAATAAATATAGATAATTCCCCCTTTCTTAACAATAACAATGTTCCCTTTGATTAGGCACCTTCTGTGAACTGTTTGTTTTCTCATCCTAAACACAGAGCTGTCACATTTTAGGAAAAAAATTCTCATTTGATGTTTTGATACTGAAGTGAGAGGATTCCAGGAAACATCCAAGAGAAGAAGATGCACATTTTTGGGTAGAGGTGGGGGGTGTAGCATCCTTCAGAGGAGTGGGGCACAAGCATTGTGACACCTCATTTGCAAACAAATCATGGAATCATAGAATGGATCTTGAAGGTCTTTTCCAACCTGGTCATTCTGTGACTCTGTGTGATTCTCTTTAGGCTGGAAAAGCTATCTAAGATCCTCCAGTCCAACCATTAACCCCACACTGCCCAGGCCACCATCAAATCATGTCCCCAGGCACCACATCCACGCGTTTTTGAACACTTCCAGGGATGGTGATGCCTGCTCTGAGCCTCATTTTCTCCAGGTAATTTTGCCTTTTTGATATGAAGGCACACGTGGAGAACAGAACACCTGAGCAGGTCGAGGGCTCTCACCGAAGAGAACTCCACAAAAACCACACTCAACTTCTTGGGTATTTTAATGACCATTGCAGCAAATAAATAATGGGTATGGTTCGTTTTGGGGTTCTTTAGAGATGTGGCAATGTCTTCTTATCTGTTGCTCTCTGCTCATCCCTATCCTCACTTTATTCAATTTTTGTTCCTGTTTCAGAAGTGATGCAGAATAAAAAGTGTTCATGAAGGAGGGGAAAGGAAAGGGGAAATAAATTTAGAGCACCTGAAGAAAAAAGGAGTTTGTCAAGCCTGAATTCAGATGGATCTCACTTGCTGAGTGGGATTCCAGAGCTTGGTTGTGCCCATCCCCTCTCCCTTAGGTCAATTAATCTCAGAGCTGAAGCTTAAAAGCCATCAGTGCTAATTTAACTTGTGAATGGTGGACATTTGCTTTTGGAGAACTGTGAGACATAAATCCCTATTACAAATGTCATCTTCCACGAATCAAAACGCAGAGCAGGAACACTTGGTCGAGGGGTGGAAAGCAGTGCACTTTAATAATGTGAGGTGCCAAAAATATTTTCATCCATCTCCCTCACATGGCACTGACGAACGTTATGAAATAATGAAAATTTTCTGGATCTGTGAATGCCATAAAAAAATTAATGTCAAATGACATCAAGACAGTTTAAGGTTTTTAAATGCCACAAGATATTTTATCCTTTATTAACCATGAGATGGGATATTAGTCATTTGAAGAGCTTATTCTCCATGAGGCAGAAAAATCACATTAACTCTTTGCTTCCTGGTACTCCACCCTTTTCCTGCCATAAATACATTAAAAAGATTTCCCCTGGCTCACAACTTGATAAAAGCTTTCATGTTCCTGCAAAGGGCTCAAGGAGTACGACACAAACATTACCCAGATGACTGAGTTCCTTGAAAGCTGCTCAATGGCACTCACTGTTACCAAGGAAGAGCTGCTTCACAACCTTCAATGGCATTAAATTTGCAACAAATCCTATAAAACAGCAGGAAATCTTCCCCTCCCTCTGTTTAAGACCATCACTGCTTTCCTTGTTAATGGTTGTACAAAGCCTCTGACTCAGAGAAAATCAAAGCCGCTGCTCCTGCTTTGGGAATGGCATCAGTTGTTCTGTTGGTGCTCTGCTGAGGTGGAATTCAATCCTGTTGGAAGACATCTCATCTGCCAGAGCCACTCCACAATCTTTTGGTTGCAAATGGACAGAAATATGTGGTTTATGGATGGTATTAAACCCATCCTGGGGTGAGGACCTAAAAACCAGCTGGACTGTGCCTCTAAGGAGGTTCCTCACCTCTGACTGTGAAACCAGCCCAGAGATAGGCTGACTTATGGAGAACTCTATAATCAGTTGATGCAAATGCCATTTCAGGTTGGAAACTTGGCTTCCTGAATACAGGCATCTTAACACCAGCTGAGGAATCCTCGTGGATTTTAGATCCTCCAAAGTTTATCAAATGGTACCAGATGTTTATGGTTAAAAGCCTGAATGGAGCCCTCAGTGTCTGTGCTGTGGGTGCCTCTCTGTGAGCTCAGTACCTGCATTCCTCCTCCAGTCAACAGAAAATTCATCAATAGAGCCCATGGCACCTCCAGAGCTGGGTAGGGACCTCCACAGCATCTTCAGCCAGTGCTGACGACATTTCTGTGGATATTAATGGGGTCCTGGACCCCAGTCTTGTACAGACACCCCTACTTTACAAACAGCAGAAATGAAGAGTCCTGACTCTGCTTTCTCCAAAGAAACTCACCCTGTGCTTTACCAAACAAGAATTTTCATGCTGTTGTTCATCTGATCACTGTAAATGGTTAATTCAAGTTGAAATAAACCACTGACCAAACCATACAATCATAAAATCATAGAATGGATTGGGTTGGAAAAGACCTTAAAGCTCATCCAGTCCCACCCTCTGTCATGGGCAGGGAACACCTTCCACTATCCCAGGGTGCTCCAAACCCCATCCATCCTGGTCTTGGACACTGCCAGGGATCCAGGAACAGCCACAGCTTCTCTGGGCACCCTGTGCCGGGGCCTGCCCACCCTCACAGGGAAGAACTTCCTCCTAAAATCTAATCTAACCCAGCCCTCTGTCAGTTTAAAGCCATTCCCTCTTGTTCTATCACTCCATACCCTTGTACAAACCAGCCAGATTTCCGGTGACTGGAACCCCTGGATGACAGTCAGAAACCACATTAAACCAGAGGAAACTCCTCCAGAGCAATGTGAAATTGCCCCAGAAGGCTGCTGACCTTGCCAGCTGCAAGGCTGGGTGACATTTGCTGAGGTCATGGCTCCCCCAAGAGCACAACTGGCCCCAGGGGTGTGCGGGGAAGGGTCGTGTCTGAGGCTCTTTCTTGGCTGGGCACACTGAGATGAGGGCACAGAGAGCCCAGTTATGCTCTGAGTGCTCTGAGGGAAGTCTGGGCTTCTCCCAGAATAGGAATCATCCTCTAGACAGAATCACAGAGTCACTCAGGTTGGAAAAGACCTCCAAGATCACCAATTCCAACCTGTGACTGATCCCTACCTTCTCCCCAGCTCAGAGCACTGAGTGTCACCTCCAGGCCTTCCTTGGACACCTCCTCCAGGGGTGGGGACTCCAACACCTCCCTGGACAGCCCCTTCTCACGCCTGACCACCATGAAAAAAACTATCCTGATGTCCATCCTGAACCTCCCCTGGCCCAGCTTGAGGACATTTCCTCTTGTCCTGTCCCTTGTTCCCCAGGAGCAGAGCCCAGCTCTCACCCAAGCTAAGGCTGAGATACTCTGAAGTACCTGACAGATCCAATGACACAGAAACTATGGGAGATCTGCACCTTTCTGCAGGGGAACTCGGAGACCAGGATGTCCTGGGACATCTCAGAGCAGTTGTACCTGAACAGGCAAATTTATTGAGTCTCATAAGCCCATCCTGCCACAAAATTAAATATATTCCACTTTCCTTAGCTTAAGGCCAACACAGTCCCAATGATTTAAAAGGAAAAAAAAAATATATACATAAAATGGAACCTTAGAGTCACTGAGGTTTAAAAAGACCACTAAGAACATCGAGTCCAACCATTAACCCAACACTGCCAGGCCCACACTAAACCATGTTCCTATTTTTGAACATTTTCCTGGACAATGAATCCACCACTTCCCTGGGCAGCCTGTTCCAGTGCTTGACCTCTCTATATAAATCAAATATACACAATATTTTCCTCATTGCTCAGCTCTGGTGGGATGATGTACTAGAAAGCGTTTTTAAGAGATTTTAATTTGTGTTTCACTAACTCTGCCAATATACAACACCCAGTGAGTGAATGCTGTGCTCGGGGGAGGGCACAGAGCAGGAACAGCAGGAAATTATTCCACATGGCTGATCCAGTGCACAGGGGTCTTGTCCTGCAAGATGTGATATCACAGCAGCTTCTGCCTCTTCTCCCTGGCTGTTGACACAGGAGTGATGAGCTACCAGGGGATTTTGGAAACGAGGAAGTCAGTGCTAGGATTGGACCCCAGGGATTTTGAATTTCCCTTCTGTGCCTGAAAAGAATTTTGGTGTGGCCTTGAGCAAGTCATGTAATCAGCATGTGCTGGTTAATGAGTGCAGTGCCCAGGTCTGTTGAACAGGGATGATACTGTGCCCCTACCCCCATTCCTAATTTATCCCGTGTGTTTGCTTTAAAAATGGCTTTAAAAATGGAGGGTCAGGATCTCCAGTGCAAAAGAACTTAATTCTCTGTTAAGGCCTGCAGAACTCCTATAATAAAACAGTGAAAAATAACTATAAACTACCCGGAGACACAATCAGCCCTGTTGCTGCATGGCCCCCTGAGACCTGAGTTTTACACTAAAGCTTCTCAGAACACCCTGAACACTGAGTTAGAGCCACCTCCTCCATTAACCTCCCCTGCTCATTGTTTGTCAGGTTAATTCCTTGGCCTGTAGCCACATCTGTCATTCCAGCAGAAAAAAAAAAAAGGAAACAAAACTTTATTATGTACAGCTCCAACTTGTTTCTTTCCTGTCAGAGACTTAATTAATTATTGTGCTAAACTGCTCGTTTTGGCACAACAAACACAACTGTTCCACAGGTTGATTCAGTTTTCACTGCACAACATCCATATTATTGGATTTCACCAGGAGCCTTTTTTGCATCCCTGTGCTCCACAGTAGCGGTGCTGCAAGTGCAGGGAGGATGTTTTGATGTTTGGGAATTCATGTGTGGCTTGGAAACCTCCTTTACCTCTGGCTAAGAGCTGTTCTCTCCCCCTTTATTGAGATGTTCTCCCTCTGGAAGGATGAGAAACCCCTTGGAGTGAAGCTGTGGAGCTGCTTCAGGATTTGCTTACCCAGGAAGGAGGTCAGGAATCTGAAGTACTTGGGGCACGGCCGTACCACAACTTCTCCCACCTCTGCTTCAGGCCAGCACGTGATGTTGTCCCACTGCCTCCTGCAGCCTGGGGAAGAGAGAAAAGCAGATGGTGGAGCACTCAGGAGTGCTGGATGCAGCAGAGCAGCTCTGCAAAGGTGTGTAGAGCTCCTCACCCCGGCACAGACACCTTTTGGAATGAAACCTCACAGAAATATTTCCTTTAGACACGCAGCTTTTAGATCCCCAAGTCCCTAAAATTCAGCACCGTAATTTTCCAGAAATCAGTATGGAAAGAACAACAGATAAGGGCAAAAAAAAGAGACAAATCAGGCTTGATACAAGAACAATGTCTTCTCCTAGATTAAAAAGGAAGAAATTCCCAATTAAATATCTCTTTTCCTTGTCCTTGTCACTCCCTGTTGCATTAAACCCCTGATATGAACCTGAGACACTGTCCCCTTCCTTCTCTGCTTCCCTCAAATGCCATCATCTTTTTCTTCCCATGGCAATGATTGTGCAGCCCTCTTGGCAGGAAGGGGACATAGATGACAATCAAGGGATCCAGGACCAAAATCCCTTCACCAGATGAAGTTTTCTTCTTAAAAAGGGGAAAAGGCACCAAAATGCTGGAAGCTGAGCAGGAGATGATCCCTAAGGAAGAGTGAGGGAATGTGGCACATCCTGAGCTATCCAAGCTAGGAATGAAGGAAGAACCAACACAGGGAGAAAACAGGGTTTTGTCAAAATGAGGTAGTGCTGAAGATTTTCTGGGAAGAATAGAAGCTTTTGTGGAAAGAAAAAAATGCCATGTCCTTTCCACAGATTTATAATGCTCTGATTTTGCCCTTTTATTTCTCAAAAGGCATTAATAATATCCCATGCATGCTGCATTGCTGGATCATGCAACATCAACGCTGAAGCCAAAAGGAGTTGGCAGATCTGAATTAAAAAATAAAAAAAATAAAAAAATAAAAGGAATCAAACACATTTCACATTTTTACATCGATATGTTACCATTTTAGAGTTCTTAGCAGAATTTTGACATTTTTTTCCCCCTGCTTTATATTTCCAACAGCTAAGCACTTCAGTTGCTGCCTGGGTGAGATGGATGGGTTGTCAGCAGAGCTCCCTTTTCCCAGCACCTGTGTTCTCAGTTATTTGTCACACCCCATTAGATGGAAACGCTCCCCCAAATGTGACTCAGTGCTGTTGGGGCTGTTACAGGGGATCTGTTTGTTGAACTTGGGAGGTTAATTAAAGCTGTTACTGTTGGAGAGTTAATTGATGTTATGACAAAAGTTAACTATGTTTAATTGCTGTAAAGTTGTTAAGATGATTTTTAAGGCTTTTGGAGTGTCCGTGGTTGATACTGGATTGGGTTGGGTGGATAGAACAGGGATTGGTAAGAAATATAAGGGGGCTTATGGGGGCCTGGAATAGAACATTCAAGAACATTCAAGAATGTGATGTCATCAGCACCGCGAGTAATGATTGGAAGAAACATCCACCAATCATTCGATGCCCTGGGAAAATGATTGGACCAGGATGAGCGTGGCTATGGACCAATCAGAGCCCAGGAAAGCAGCCAATCCCGAAAAGGATCCAAAACGGACCAATCCAGGCCTAAGGGAGGGTATAAATCAGGGTGTTACGTGTTAGCAGGCGCTTTTTCTGTTCAGGAATTTGTTGGGGTGCGTTGTTGCTGTCCTGGTTTGTAGCGTGGAGCGCACAGGACTAGCCTGGGTTCTCCTTCAGCTGCAGCTCAGTATTAATAAACAGGCCAGGCTTTAATTACATCAAAAAGTCTCGAGCCTTGTTTATAACAGGAGCAGCAGCCCCACATGAGAGAGACTGGGATGTGACGAGCAAAGTGGGGAGAAAATGTTGGGGAAATACTTCTCACATGGCAGCAAAAGGAACTACAAAAACCCCTGTCAGGCTGCACCTGTTGGTAATTACGCCCTGCTCTGAAATTCCTCCTTTAAATCATCTTTTAGTCCTTGAGCTAAGGAGGCAGATCTGTCCCAGAGCGACAGAGAGCACACAGAAATGCTTTGAAGCTGAAAAAGAACCCTTAACTCGCTTTCAAAGTGATTTTACATGTTCCCCCTCCCTGCTTCTTTCATGAACAAACTGAACTTCTCAAATGAAGTCCGCAGCTGAGTTTATCAGAGCCTGAAAAATGGAATGAATGATGGTATCTCCTTCATGCAGCTCTCCTGCACAGCTCATTAAAAGTCAGGTTTCAGGTCCTTGTATCAGGTGCCCAGCTCAGCTCTCACAGCCTCACTCTTATCTCCCACCAAACAGCTCCAAAAGTGTCAGGATGTTAAAGATTCCACGGAAAATGATTCCATGACGGAATATTTCACATTCTGCAGTCTTTTCCTCCGCCAACTGCAATAAATTAGAGTGCAGCTATTACCTCATGATAGGTTATAATACAAAATAAAAGCCATCTGATAGCATCAGATGGCTTTTTAAATGCCCTGAATTATGCACTCTGAGAGTTTTGGTGATCTGTATCTTTTTCTCTGTTGACATTTTTCAGCACCACCTGTGATGTGTAAAGAAAACCTTTAGGTGCTCACTTTTGTATCAAAAGCTTATTATTTTATTTTTTTTCTGATTAGAAGAAAGTGAAACTGGCCTTGCAAGACACATAAAGTGTACTTTTACAAATTATTGCTCTGTAAACACACCTTGTACCTGCTATTAACTCTTAAAACACCAATCTGCCTCATCGCTGCCCTGGACATGCTGTAAATATTTCTGCAATAAATAAAGAAGGCAATGGAATCCAGAATTCTGGCTGGCAGTGCCTGTCACTGCAGGATCAGAGAATCTTGGCATGGTTTGGGTTGGAATGGACCCTAAAGATCATCTCATCAAAACTCCCTGCCACTACCCCAGGCTGCTCCAACCTGGCCTTGGACACTTCCAGGGATAACCAGGGGCAGCCACAGCTTCTCTGGGCCTTTTAACAGGTCTGTGTCCTTCTTGTGCCAGTTATCTGCAGTGCAGGAAAATCAGTGATTTTTAGTGAGCAGAAGAGAATAACTGGAGTTTAAAGAATTGGAATAATTGAAGATTGATACCTGCAAAATGCTTTACATGCACAGTCCAATCATCCCATCCCAACTTCAGGTAAAACTTTGTGCCCTTTCATCTGACCCACACAGACAACCTTTCTCAAGGAACCTTCCAGAAAATGCTTTTCTTCCTCCCAAGCTGATAGACTTTATCCTGGAAAAGAGCTGGGATCTGGGGATTGGCAGGCAAAAATATGCACTTGAAACAAGGAAATCCCTCTCTTCTCTGTGGTACCACTTGGATGTAGCAAAGATGACAAGTCTGACCTGATCACGTCGTGTTTGGGGATTGATAAGTGCTTCCTCATTAATTAATTATAAATGTTGTCGTCTACCTTGCACTCGGTGTCTGCAGGGAGGATGCAAAGGCATTTATCAATCCTCACTCAGTGAGTGGCAATGAGTTAAAAACACACCTTCTCTCCACTTCCATCAAAAGAACTGCTCTGCTCTTGTGCCTGTCCCAAAAAAACCATGGGATACACACTGCCAAAGGCTGTGCCTTGCTTTGGGAAGGATCCCAGGTGAGTCTGGGGGAGCTGTGTAAAAATCAGGGTGTGGGTTTTTTAAGTAAGCTTCACTTACCACCTCTCTGGGTGTCTCAGGTGTCTTTAAACTCTTGTCATTACAAAATTAAACATTAAAAAATTAAATTAATATTTTTAAAAAGAGGGTTTTGTGTTTTTTTCCCCATTTTAATTATTTTATCTGTGATTCCCACACCCTCAGCTTTGCCCTACCCTTCCTTGCCAGACCAAGAAGCGCTCTGTGGAGCTGAATATCTTCTTCTGGAGGGCTGCAGGGAGAAATCCTTCACACCTCTAGAGGAGCTGGAGCTCAGATCCCTCTGTGCAGCAGCTCAGCCTCCCTCTCTGCAAGCCAAATACCCCACAAGGAAGCCAAGGGCTGCATCAGCCTCACTCAGAGCCCTCCTCTAAGGGGTTCTGGCTCAGAAGCTTCAGGGCATTCGGGGGTCCCAGCACACCTTTCCCACTGCTCTGCTAAAAGTGGAGCAGAGCTCTCCCTTCCTCTCTCTTTAAAAGGTTAATAAACAGAAAACAGGTCAATTCTCACGAGGCACACTGGCTTGCAGGACTGGCAGACTGAAGCATAAAAACCCATTTATTGGAGTCATATCTATGCTTACAGCAAATCGTGGTGGAAGCTTATCTAGGAAGCAGCAGAGAGTAAGTTCCCCTCATGAATAAACATGAATTCCCAGAGCTTTGGCACAGCCCTGAGATGGGACTTGGTCTGGCTGAGGCAAGAAATGAATGGCAGCAGGCTGGTACCAGGCACTCTCTGGAGCCAGGTGAACTCCCAGTTCAGGGAAAAAGCCTTTCAGCACATCAGTCTCTCACTGAATCATGGAATCATTGAGGTTAGAAAAGACCTCCAAGGATATCGAGTCCAACCTTTGACCAAGCACCACCCCCCAAACCCTCACACCAAGTTCTCCCCAATGCCTGGGGGGGTCACTCCAGGTCTCTTCTGAAGGACATTCCCACACATTTTGCTCTTGGAATCCCTGCTCAGATGCAGAGATGCCCATTTGATGCCTGGGGTATCTCAGGAGCTCTCGGTACCCACAGGGATAACAGCAAGGCAAAGACACAGCTCAGTTAAGCCAGGCTGAGCCATCCCAGGGCACCATCACAGCCTGGTGTGCTGCAATAAAATCTCATTTTCACTCCAATTTCATAGCAGCAGGCAGCTCCCAAGCTCTCAGGACTGTAAACAGCCATGGGGTGACATTTATTGTGCCCTGACAAGCCCAGCCTTGGTGCTCACCCGTGGCTTGCCTCGTTACAAACGTCTCATTACAACCAATTATCGCTGCATCTATCTCCTTGCCCAGCTGAGCACTGAGCCTGACTGAAGGAAACAGACTCCAAAAAATGGTGCCTGCAACAACCCAAAACTCAGCACCACCCAGGCAATCTGAATTTAATCTCAGTGGAGGAAAGCCCTCCATCAGCTTTGGGTCACTGCT